AACTAAATATCACACCGAAAGATAATGATATCGTGGAATTGGGCGAATTCAATGAAGCGTATAAGAAACTTGTAAATTTGAAGCTTTAAATAAAAACCTATAAATTTCCTTCGTATAAGAAACAGGAAAAATCCAATGCAATGAAGCCCATGAGAACTGTGCGAATCTCTTTTATAATTTTGAAGCTATAAGAAAAAACAATGAAAAAAATCAAATTTCAACCCAAATTCAAATTTAAACTTCCGAAAAATTTTCAAACTGAAATTTTGTGAAAATTTTAGATTTTAATAAGTGGGTCAGCTATTTCAACCAATAGAAATGGTTGTCTATGTGAGGTATACATAGACTTTGTCTATGTGTACCCTTTCCGCACTAACCCCACTTTCACAAATATTTTATTATTTATCTTTCCTACCAACCCCACTGACACTACTTTTCTTATTATTTCTATTTTCTTACTAACAATACTTTATATTATAAGCCTATAAGCTTAGTCTATAATTTTCTTAAACTATGAGCCAATCCTACTGTTGCAACTAATGCGAAACGAAAGGAGTAATCAAAAGCTAAAAAAGTGTAAGAGCGTGAAATTGGGAAAAGAGCAAAAAGTTAGCAGAGAGTTTCATGTGCGTTTCACTTGCATTTGGGTTTCATTTCTTAGGAATAGTGGATATGCTTTTTAGACTCAAAGCACTATTCATAAGCTAAAATGGAAGGAACTTCCACTTTTTAATAGGTAAGGATAAGGATAAAGCTATCTTTATTAGTTGACATATTTCTCTTCGTTTCATAAATGACATGAATTCACTTAATTTTTAATATTTCCTTTGTTTATTCTTTAATTTGCAACACACTTTTATGACTCACACTTTAAGGAAGAGATTTGGTAATTTAAAAAAATAAATTAATCAAAATAATGTAATACACGTAATACCTAACCCTTCTCTATTTTTGGTGTTAAAATTATTATGATCAAGTCGCTTGATTACTCTAATCAGATCAACTCCTAAAAAAGTATCCAAAGGTGTGTCGTGAATAAAAGAAAACAGAGGATGTATCTTTCTTGATTCACTTTTTTTCTACTCAAATACTCTTTTTTTTTGGGATTTGTTAAACATCGCCCGCAAATCTCCACATAAAGCCCACAAATTAGACATGATTTGACAATTTTGCCCATTTCTAAAATCGTACCCAAAGTGAACAAATCTCGATCTAACAAATATGGAGTCGTACTGGGTTGCCCGGGAGACTGGAGGAGAGGCCGGAGAGGCGAGGGACGCCGGAAATACGTCGTCTTCGACGGAAAACGAGGTGACGCCTAGTTTGGACGCCGGAACCATGGCAAGGACGTCCAGGCAAGGCGCCACAACCAGTGCACTGGCGTCCAAGCCAAACGCCACAACCAGTGCACTGGCGTCCAGCCCAGGCGCCACAACCAGTGCACAGGCGTCCAGGCCAGGCGCCACCACCAGTGCACTAGCGTTTCTGCCAGACGCCGACGTTACCGTTTAATTTTTTTTTTTTTTTTTGCCTTTTTTTATTTTGTTTTTGTTTTTTTAAAAAAAAATTGAAAATTCGGAATTCTATTAAAAACTGTTTTTTTTTTTTTAAATTATGTTTAATAAATTTATGTTTTGATTTAGGATGTGGAAATTTATGTTTTTTATTTGATTTTATAAAAAATATATATACTAGACTTATAAAAAATAACACATAAAATTAATAAATATTAAAAAAAATCAAACACATTAAAAAAAAATTAGACATAAAACAAAATTATTTATAAGTAACACAAATTTTCTGATTTTCCAAAAAAAAAAAATTAAAAAAAAAAATAAGCGGCGAAGGTGGGGCGCCTGGCCAGGACGCCCACCCACTGGCGGTGGCGCCAGATCCGGCAGCCATAGCCAGTGGGCAGGCGCCTGGTTTGGACGCCTCTACCGTTGGCTGGGCTTCCAAGCCACACACCACGCCATCGGCACTGGCTGCCGGAGCTGGCGCCACCGCCAGTGGGTGAGCGTCCTGGCCAGGCGCCCCACCTTCGCCGCTTATTTTTTTTAAAAAAAAAAAATAATTTAAATAATTACCTTGCCACCAAGTCGCCGCCTTTCCTCCGCCGCCGCCGCCACTACCTCTTTCCCTTGCCGCTTTTAGAGAGATGTAGTGATTGGTTTTTTTTAAAAGCGAAAAGGGCAATAAGGTCACTTCAATACAAATTTGTGGGCTTTATGTGGAGATTTGCGGGCGATGTTCAGCGATTCACTTTTTTTTTCCTTTTAAAATGCCCTTGTTGTCCGACACACTTGTCATTATACTCAGAACTTTGAGTAATAGTATATTTAATTATTGATAAGTATAAATTATATAATTTAAATATTTATAAACTATCTATTGAGACGATTTTAACCACATGACTATGTTTAATTTTATGTATAAAGTGCAAACATAAGTCAAAGTGATACATGTAAATAGTGTCAAAGTCCAGCATAGGCACTTAAGTATAATTGGAGGAGGGAGTATAATGTTCAACTATCCACTAACCAAAGTAAAAGATATCCTACTACTTTCTCCGTTGTTATTTGTTTGTCCCATTTGATTATTCGCTATTTTTGAGATTAGCGCGTTTTTTGTGTGGCTAGCCACACCATGTGGTTGGACGACACACATTAATACACTAATAGGATAACCTCTAACCGAGTAACCCCTTACCGAGCGAGTAACTCCTGACTGATTGAGTAACTCCTGATCGATCGAGTAACCCCGGCCACACGATGTGTGGCCAGCCACATATGAAACTTTGTGTTTTGCAATATGTTTCAAAACATAAATACGTGCAAAATTATTAAAAATTTGATTTTTTTGAGTAGACATTATAATTATAATAAATGTAATAAAATCTCATGTGACTATATTTTTCCTACACATTAGTAAGAATTTATGGTCAAATTTTATAAAGTTTGACTCTTAATTACCCCCTAAAAAAATTACAATGGGGCAAACAAATAAAGACGAAGGAAGTATACATTATTACATATTAAATAAGAAATCAATTTAATTTACCTAAATTTGATCAAAATGTGTCATTTTTATTTTTACTCTCCATCTATTAACTTGTCAAGAATTTGAATCTCAATTACCCCCTCTATCTCTTTTTTATAATACTATACAACTATTTTTAATGAGAATTTTTTGAGTCAAATGGTGAACAAGAGACGGAACAGAGGAACTACATGATTCATACCAATGCTCTATGCCTCTATGTAGTACTCCCTCTGTCCCTAATTTATTGCCCCATTTGACTTTTCACGGTTTTCAAGACGTGTTTTAAAACGTACTTCATATATAACTTCATTTCTATATGCGTAAAAATTATAAGAACTTTATATTAATAAAATATACAATAAGACGAATTTTACAACACCTCAAATGACTATATTATCTCTTATTGGTTAATGTAGCAAAACTGTGCCGTGCTGGACCAACTGTAGGCCCACATTCCATGTAATGCTTGAGTGTTGGCCAAATACAGCCCACTCGCCTTGTGGTATGTCATGAACTCATGATTGTCATCCCAAGTAAAACCTTAGCCTTGCTATATTTGGCTATGGAGTTCTGGCCGGCTTATGACTTACTCCCTCCATCTCTTTATTTTTTCCTTATTATCATTTTTTGGGTCAAATTTTGAAAATTTTGACCCTAAATTACCGTTTATCTATAAAAGATAATAGTTATGAGTGGTCTTGTTAGATTCGTTTTATTGTATATTTTATTACTATCACATTTTTATAATTTTTACGTGTATGGAAAAAAAGATATAGACGTTTTAAAACGCGTCTTGGAGACCGTTCATAGTCAAATGGAACAAAAAAAATAGGGACTGAGGGAGTAAGAGTAGCATTTAGGTTCTTCACTTTAGTTGTCTACAATAGAAATAAAATCCACGATTATGTACGGCAGGTTGGTATGATTTTTTCGTATGCTACATCACACCCATCTCGTTTCAACTAATTATTTCGTTACCTTCTAATAACAACTTCAAATAGTGTGTCAAAGAGGTGTGTTGTAAATATTTAAAAAAAATGGAGTGTTAGATAATAGAAATTCAAAACAAATAAAATACCTCGGAGGATAAAATAAGTGAAATTTAGATAAAGATAACACTATCTAAGCTGCTAAGCCTAATCTCATACGAGTACCCTTGTATCATGCAATGAACTCCATACGTTAAACGGCTGAGGTTGGAAACTTGGAGATATCATTTTATCATTGTTAATTATACAATGATTGCACTCAACGTGGCACAATATTGATCAGAAACTAAAACTTGGAGTACTGTTTAGCTATCAAATATAAATAAATAAACACACATGAATCATGAAGTAAATTTATAAGCAACAATGATACCAACAAAGTGTTGATTAACTCAAATTAAAATTTTAGTTGTTGCTGTCGTCTATTACAAACAAGTTAATCACCCACTCAATAGGTGTAGCATCATATAAGGCTATAACACAATACTCCGTATAGACTATGAAAACGAAAAAGTAAAAAGTAAAAATTAATACGGAATACGTGATACTCGTAGTTGTTTGGTTGGCATCTAAATGCATGGCATGTACATTTTCTTTGATATTATCATAGATATTTAACCTTTAACACTTGAATAGTTGTATGGTCACCAAATCCTTTTTTTCCCCCAAATGCAACGCTACGTGGTTGAGCACAATCTATAATGGAGCACATAGAACGAGCTTGACCAGAACCCATAAAAACCTCAGTTACAACTAAAACAATTTTAGGCACCTTGTAGAAATATAACCTCCATAAAAATGACGAATTCAAAAAAAATATATACTCCGTAACTTGTGTATAGCCAAACGATCATCTATATGTAAACAACCACTTTACAAATGCAGCACTGGAAGTTTGACCACGACCTACGACAAAGCAATAGAAATGTGCAACATAAAGATTATGAGCAGAACTCATAAGAGCCCCAATCAAACTAAAGCATCATCTCGATTCCAGGCATTTATTTCAAATAAGAATTTATCCGTTCAACAAATATGTGACCAGCAATTTTACACAGTAATGAGGCAAACCAGTACTCGAGAAAAAAAAATACAATCAATTACAAAATGGAACCAACCATCTCAGTGTCTCAAGCAGAGGAGGCGTTCCACCGAAGATGGAAACCAAGAAAAGAAATTTCGCTGGGCACTAAAACCCACCTAAAAGTTCTTAGAAAAACAGAAAAAAAATCAGTTCTTCACAGTTGTGACATACTTGAGCAGCATCTGAACAACTTCGGGAGATATACTGGAAGACTGTGCTTTCAGCTGTTCAATTTTAGCATCAGTTTCTTTTTCAAGGCGCTTCACATTAGCACCCGAGTCACCGGTACTCTGTACCATTGATATAGGGATGGTCACGGTTACATAAGCACAGAGTTAACAATAGAAGATAAAAAAACTCAGCAGAAATTGGCAAAAATGCAGAGTAAAAGAGAACAAGGGCTCTTAAGAACATACAAAAAAGGCAATGTGAATGTAAAAATCTCTTATCTTGATAGCTTTCACTTCCCATTATTTCAAAGCAGAGGAAACACAATTTTAGGAAACAAGGCAGCTTTATCTAGAGTCTAAACAACTCAAAATAGTGCTTAAAAAACATAAAATTGCTAAAGGAGATGTTGAACCTACTGGCTTGTATACAAGTACAATAACCATAGCATTGATATATTATCTCATACAAAAAGGCCATCACGCCCATCAGTTATGGAGGTATAAAGGGAAAGGGGCACTGGATGAGAAGAATAAATATAAAGCTTCCTACAGATCTTTTCCCTTAACCTCAAAGGAACCCCGAAGAAGAATAAGAGACAGAACTACGGAAGAAAACAGTAATTTAATAACTTAAGCAGACTATTGTCCAGAAAACAAAATTCTAAAATCCTTCATGGATGTAATCCAGGTGATGGATGCATGCATTTGATTATTCAAGAAAATTCAGCAAATAGTAGAATTTTATCAATCTAACCTCCGCCAATTTTCTCTGGTATTCGGCTTCCATTTGTGCACGAAACTCAGCAATTTCTTTCTCAGCCTCTTCCTTTGCTTGTCTTAGTCTAGCCATCTTGGCTGTTAAACAAAAAAAAATGAAGTCAAACCAAATGCATTAAGTAAAAATTGACAGGAAGGCTGAATTTATTGGCCAGCTTATAGGTGTTACCATACATATTTTAAGCCTTTCAGGTAAAAAGTAATACACATTTCCATCCTCCAAATTTCTACGGAGAATGGGAACTTACAATCCATCTTTTGGCTTAGAAATTTTAATGATTCCCATAATCATAATTCATTATGTCACATAAAGTAGTTGTTACAAATAATCAAGATGTAAAATGCACCCTAATATAAAAAATAAAAATAAAAAATAAAAAAATGGGATGCTTTTTTTAAGAAAGTTAACTTTAAACAACCGCTTTATACACAATAATTACATGGAATTGTGATTGCCACAAACATAAGCTTCTAATGCTCTATATGGAGGAAAGAAATGCTTCAGATAATTGATACAAATAGATGTGACCATGGCGACAGTAATTCCTGTTAATGTACATGACACACATTTTAAAACCAAAATGTAGTACATACAAACAACGTCCATAGATGAAAATTGCAAGCATACCATTTTTGGCTGTGTTAACAATGTGTTGGGCTTCTTGCTCTGCAGACAGCAAAAGTTGAATTCCATTTTGGGGTCTGCTTGCTTCCATACTTACTGTGAAGGCTGACACGTCCTGAAAGACTACCAAAAAAATAATTATGAGAAGAAATAGCATTGGGTAGGTATCATAGAAACCAGATACTTCAAGTAATAATTATGCAAGTGTCTAAATGCATCAGGATTCATGTCTGGTGGTGACTTTACAAAGACGAAGAACAAGAGTGGACCAATAACATTATTAACATGGAAAAAGATCAAATTTTTTTTCATAATTAAACTCCCCCTCCAGAAAGGTCAGTATTTACTTTCATAATCAGTTATCACTACTGGCCATCAAGTTTACTTGCATAGGACCAAGTACATAAAAAAACCAAACAAAAGTCCACAACTTAAGATCTTATGTCAGCATAGAGTTTTCTGGAACTACTAAGGAAATTGAAAGAAATTCATTATACAAGAATGTCCCGAAAAAAATCGCAGAAAACATCCTCAAGACCACTTGTCGATCGATCTCAAAAGTATTTACACATTTTTCCAAATAAAATATATGTGTACAAAATATATGAATATAACAGGAAACTCTAATTGCCTACTGGATCTTCTCCCTCTTTAATAATGCAAAAGGATATAGATGCCATCTACTAATTCAATAACTTAATATTTTGCATCACAAAAACCTTTTAATGTCACAAGAACACCCACAAAAACAGATGAAACATTCTTCTATAAGCTCTCAGCAATATTTATTATTTGTTGGGAGAAAAAGCTCTCAGCAAATACTGGCGAACATTAAATCCTCTAGCAGGGTAATTTTGATACAAAGCGGCAGAGAGATCATCAAAACTGTGCTAAAAGTAATATCCACGACCACATTACTCCCATCAAAACGAGACAGCTTTCCTCTTGTCTTATTGACACTTTATAGCCTCTTAAGAGATAAGCTAAAAGATCCGTACTGTTAAAATGTACACTAACAGACCTTGTAACTTGACCAACAAAAATTTAGAACCAACGTAAATGTCTAATGTTACCATCTCAGTGAAAAAGTTGCAGATCAGAGCAAGCCATTTTCTTTTAAAAAACCCCAATCCACGACTGATCAATATTCAAACTGATGTATACTTCATCCAAAATCAACACAAAAAGAAAATAATCAAACTAATTACGACCTCAACTAGCAAATAATCAATCTTTCAAGCAGCATAATGAAGCTAAACGATAACACCAAATCCATTTAATAGATTAATAAAGAAAAACGTAAGATAGCAGCACAATCAAATTGAGTGATTCAGGATCAATATAAAGGAAGTCAATTCAAAACCCCATAATATCGAGATAAGAATTCGCTAGATTATCATAGCTAAAACTCTAAAAGCATGAAATTCAATGAACAAAATTGGGAACCAGAAGTACATTCAACTAAAATTAATATATATCACTGGGATCTTAAACCCAATACGAATCACAGAAATAATACTACGAGTATAATTTAACACCAGAGATTTCATTAAATCCCCAATTTCTTCCACACAATCAAACAAAAACCTAGGGTTAAGAAATTAAAATCCCAAAATTCAATCAAAAATTAAAATCAATTAAGATCCATAAATCAAGTCAAAGCCACAAATTCAAACAAAATTAACAATTAAAATTAAAGGGGCGAACATATAAATCACAAAGATCCGGGTATAATCATAACTATATAGTTTAATCGTAGATGAATTCTGGGAAAATTGAAAGATGGGTGATCTAATAATACTGTCAAAAAGTGTTAACAGAAAAAATGTGGGGAAAAAGCGACGAACTTTGATTATCAGGGTAAAAGAAAGTAAAGATCTTGCGATGAAGAGAGAGAGGAGACTTACAGAAGGTTGAGATGAGGGGAGAGTCGGAGAGAGAGGTGATGTGCTTCAATCAATCGTATACAGATTTTGCTGACAAAAGACAAACTACTTTTTATGAGGAGTATTATTGTGATTTGTGAATTGTGATGGATAAATTTACTCCTAGTTTGTTTCAAAGGAAATACAAGTTTATCTCCCATTTGCTTATTTATGGAGATGAAAGTGTAACTTTTGCAATGAAAATGGTAAAACCACTACTTGACGTAGCGGTTTATACCAAAACCGCTACCTTAAATAGCGATTTTGCTACTTGAGGTAGTGGTTTTACTCTGTGATAAACAAAATTTGTTTATCACAGGAATTAACTAGGGCTGCACGAAAAAATTTACTCCTAGTTAAATTACAATTATATCAATTTTCATTTTGCTTACGTAAATAATTTTTTAAACCAAATACAAAAGGAGTATTTTATTAGAAAGAAGTGAGGGGTTATAGTTGTAAAACACATGACCCGACCTGTGAAAATCGAGTACTCGGGTTTCCCTAGTCTGGTCACGAATACTTGAGTTAATCTTTTAAAGGTGTATTTTATTCACCCTATTAGACCAGAACTTATTTGAATTTAAATAAACTTATTTATTAGATCTTATTGAACATATTAAACCTTATTGAACTTCTTAAAACTTATTATTATTATTATTATTATTATTATTATTATTACACAAATTTTCATATGTGGCTGCCCACATGCTGTGGCCATATTTACTCGATCGATAAAGGGGGTCGATCAAGGATTAGGGGTTATTCGGTCAATCAAGGGGAGAGTCAAGAAGTACCCGAGTTAATGTTTTGATGTGTGTCAGTTTGCCGCACACCAGAAGAACACTATTATAACTATACAGTGTTTTGGTGTATGGTTGTGACGAGGGTAAAAGAGAAAGGGGAGGGGGTCGACTCGGCGGTGGAGGTGGGTTCCCGAGGCTAGGGATTCTAGGCGACGACTCAGTTGGGGGAGGGGGTTGCTGCCAGGGGATGGGGAAAGGGAGGTGGTGGCTAGCTAGCTGGTTGGTGTGGTGGTGGTTTTTTTTTTTAATTTGTAAATAATTTAATTATGAAATAGATATGTGAGAGTTAGAGGGTAATTAGAAGAAATTAGTGGTTAGTAAAGTGAATTAAGAGTACTAGGTTGCTTTCAACAAAAAAATAAATAAATTAACATCAGGTTTTCTTTTGTCAAAAAGTTTTTAAAAGGTTTTTTTCGCAAAATACTTGCTCTATTTTTTTTTACTCGATCTGTTTCTTTTATCATGCTTGCCACTGTAAAATTTTAACAATTAATAACTATATTTCTCTGTAAGTAGAAATTTCAAAAGTTATGACTTATGTTAGAAATTTTTGAGACAAATTCAAAAAGATCTCTCATGAATACTTTTTCCCTACTTATTATTTACAAAATACAGTTAAAAGAAAGATGATGAATTTGCGTAAAATTCAAAGTGAGTAGAGTAAAAACAAAAATCCCCATTCTAAATTTACGCTCTCTCTCCTCAACTAGTTTTCATTCCTCAAAGAGAAAACTATATCTGAATTTCATCGGCGTTTTTCCCTCTGCTCCTCTGCTCTGACTCCGGCAGACCTGCACGGAGGCTGGCGGCATCGGCATTGACATCATCCCACGCAGCCACGCTCTCACACTCCCACCGACCGGCGACGAATACAAAGTGTCTCGAACTCATAACTCTCAGTAAGTCGCTTCTTTACTTCTTTCAATTTTTCACTTTTCATTTTTAATTTCTTCAATGTTCCAGCTTTTAATTTATAAATTATAATATTGTTTAGTTGTTACTTGTTAAAATGTTAGATTAGTTGAATATATAGTTGGTTGATTCTTGATTTGTTGAATTAGTTTTAATTTTTTCAATTTTAATAGTTGAATTAGTTGTTGGATAACTTAGATTATTTGTAGATTTACTCCGTACTTTTTTAGCTAATTGTTGAACAGATTGGCTGATTATAATGTATTGATGAATTGTTAAAATAAGTTAAATACTTTATCTAATTGACTAATTTTATATGCAATTCATGCCAAAATTTTATATGAATTGTTTTGTGTAATTGATATTGGCTATTAGATTTAGACTGATTATGAGTTTCGATTTTATATACTAAAATTGGGAGATGAAAAGCAAAAGTTTAGAATTCTTATAGAATACAGGGTTTTAATTCATGCCAAAATTCTTCTGGTTGGAACCGCAACTATGGAAAGAGTTTTTTCCTCGATGACTATTGTGAAAAAAAATTGCAGAATAGCATGGGTGACCAACTTATGAATAATTGTTTAGTTACATTTATTGAGACGGACTTGTTTTTGCAAGTTAGTGATGATGATGTAATTAATTGCGTCCAAATTATGAAAACTTTTCGTATGCATTTGTATAATTTAATGTGAAATTTTTTCTCTCTTCATTATTTGTAATATGAATAATGTATGTTTTTTTTGGTGCTGAACTTTGTTTTCTATTGAATTACTTTATTACTTTTTATTGAGTTTGTACCCTCATTCTCCGAATCCTGGATCTGCCACTGGAATGCAGTGAAGGTGCATGGCTGTTGGGATGTATTTTTGATGCATTGGATAGCAAGGGAGCGCAATGTGACTGTTGTGTAGAGGTCAGAGAGGGCAGCTATTGTTGTGTTATGATTAGGCAAGGGAGATGGAGGTAAGGGTGCAGCTCTTGGTGTGTGGGCTGTGGGTTGACTGGCAAGGAGGGAGGAGTGCAAGGGTTGTGAGGCGAGGGAGATGGAAGGAGGGGCTATAGTGTTTGCTGCTGCAGTTGTTGACTAGTCAGGGGCAGCAAGGAGGGAAGTGAGTGTTGCTGGCAATACTTTTTTAGGTGTCATTTAGGAGGCTTGGTTCATTAGTAGTATTGATAAAATGACCTTGGCCATGGAGGTGGATAGTACTATATGGGTTTAACCAGTAAGATTCACAAGGTTACTGTGTGAGTGTACTAAGGAGATGGAAATTTTGTAATGCACTCGCTATGTGATGATTTATGGTGTACCAATGTACCGTGCACATTTTATTTGTGGTAATATGTTGTACTTTACTTGAAATGACATTGATCTTTATCCTTAATGAAAATGAACTGTTTGTTATCGACTGAGGATCAAGATTTCTCTCCAATTATCTTTTTTATTGAATTTAGGACTTGTATTATTATCTAAGTTCTGGTTTAAGTTTGACTAGTTAATTTCACTTTTCTGTCTTTGCTTTTTTTGCCCATGATTGTATTCTTCAGACATACTGCAACAACTTCTTTTCTCTTTGCTTGGGTTTTCTAAGCTTGTACTTTAATTCTTTTTGGTTTAATTTTTGATATTCTGTTCGAATCTCTCTCTTTTTTTTTTTTTTAATTTTATTAATTTAATTTCCATTGTGATTAGAAACATTGATTTGTGATTCTTATTTACAATAATATTGCGGAGTAGTGGCTCTAGCAGAGCATAGAATTTGTTACATCTCTTGTTGTGACCTCAATTATAATAGTGAGTGAACTGGAATAATTTTTTATCATAACAGTTAGTTTATTCTTCTCTTGTTGTAAGTGGGTTTGAGACCATTGAGTATAAAATGTCTTTGGCACATGATTATAAGTATATAATTATTGAGCATTCTAGACTTACTTAAAATAGAATAAATGGCATTGTATTAGCTTGCTATATACTCCGTATTATTTTTTTGGTACATTATTATATTTTAATTTTTTGGTTGAGGTCATTTTGGGAGTAATTTATTACTATCAAGTATCAACTAAATGTGTTTCATTCTTGGGTATTATTTTCATCTTGAAAACTTGTTCTAAATTGTAATCAATTTGCTGCTATGCATGTGTTTTGTGGGGGAAATGTTTTGTTAACACATGTGCTTTGCGGGTAGGCAGCTGGATGCTTTGTGTTGTGCTTGTGTGTATCCGTGCACATGTGTGGTTGTGGGTTTTTGTAAAACTATTTGTGTTTGAGCATGAACCAATTAAGCATGTCTTTGAAAAACCTGGTTTGTCTAATGGTGCATGGTGTGTGGTGCTGTTTGGGGAAGAAAAATCTAGCATTTTGCTGTAAAACCTGTGAGCATGATTCAAAATTTGCAATTTGTGTTAACTGTAAATATTTGTAATTTGAGATATTAATAGTTTTAACAGAGAATTAAGTTTATAACCTTTTCACAGTTTGAGAATTGATTTTTTTTTTTTTTTTTAAACCACAGGGTTTGGGTACTCATCACTGATTTTCGGCAAGAATAAATAAATTAGGCCCAAAATCTTGTATCTTGACTTAAATAAATTTGTACCTCGGGTTAAACATTAAAAAAGGAAGCTTTACATCAGATTTTTTGCTTGGAACACAAGGCAACTCAATTTTGGCCATCCAAAGCTGAAGGATGTCGTTTGCTATATTGGTGGAGTTCGCCCGATCGGATGTGTGTTTTTTCCAGTTGTCCTTAGTCGGGTTTGGTTGTAATATTCGGGGTTTAATGTATAAACCCCAAACTTAGCTTTTCTTAGACACACTTTTCATTAATTAATTTTCAAGATTTTAGTTTTAAAGAGAATTCTTAGTTTTAAGAGCACTTTTGATTATTATTGTTGAATTCAAGCTTTTCATTATTACAAGTTTGAATGCCCAAATTTTTAATGATTCAAAATGACAATTTATAAGCTATGAATATACTACGTAATTCGATACTTCCTCCGTTTTTTTATAGTTGCAACACACACTTTATCGCGGTATTTAAGAAAAGTGGACCTCACTTAATATAATACACTTAAAATGGGGTTAAAAGTTCAAGTGGACCATGAACTATAAATGAAATTGATAGGATAATTTTCACCATAAAAACTTTCCTTTTATAGTGTGTTGCAACTATTATAACATTTCCATTTTAAGAAAGTGTTGCAACTGTAAAGAACAGAGGAATTATTTTCCAAGCTTGTTTTGTTATTATTTATGTGTCGTTTTTGAATCACAAATGTACGATGTTACATTGACACAATTGCTCTTTCTTTTCAACTTTTATATCAAATCCAGTTTCTCTCTTTCTCTCTCCTATCTCAAATCCAATCCCTTTCTTTTGGAGTTTCAACATCACAATCAAAGGCTTCACCATTCTTTTCTTGTGTAGAAATTAGCCAAGAAATTAACGTTGTTCCTCTACTTATCAAAGGTAGCTGCGTATGTAAATGCATTCAAAATGTAATTCAAAACCATATGTTAAGGTTTAAGTGGTTGCTGCAGTTGCCAAGTTTTTTTTTTTTTTTTTTTTTTTTTTTTTTTTTTTTTTTTTTGTTGTTGTTGAAGCTAGAGTTAGGGTTTGATTTCCCCAAATTTTAATTGAAGGATAATGAATTTGCTCATATGATATTTGCCAAAATTTTGCTTTGGGATTGTAATGGACTAGACTGACTTAACAAATCATCACACTCAATATTAGAAGAAGAAGGATTGATTGTTCATAAATAAAGTAACCCAAGGATTACAAAGGTAGTAACATGAGGCTGCCAATCTCCTAAGCAACTTTAGGTTGCAAATCTCTCAAGAGTTTCCTCACAAATTTTTGGATACCAACTTGCTACACATACCATACTACTTATACTAAGATTACTAATGGTCAAAGATGACCTTAATTCTAAACATGTGACTGCTTAACATACATAGGAAGACCATGAGAACATAGTAGAAGTTCCTTCTTCTCTTCTTAATTAATCTTGTCCTCTTCTTCGTTAGAGTCTTGATGCATTGAAATTCTCCCTGCTGCTGCTTGACCTTCCTTTTAGCTTCTATTGCTTGACTTTCCTTCTAGCGTAGACCTGCATGGGCTGTGGCTGACTCGGATCCGTCATAGGGATTTTCCTTAAAAGTGAGAATTTTGATTATTGTTGTTGCTATTTAATTAGTACTCACTCTAGATTTGGCTGAACTATTTGCTTGTGATTAATGCTTCATGATTTAACATTTTGGGTTGGAACTGACTGTAGAACTATTTTGTGCTTTACTCGTATACCTAAATCTGTATTATTTTGATACCGGCGACTTTATATGAACTTTGCTGTAAAACAGATAGGCAATTGTGTATATTTACGTTAAGAACAAGTTTTGGAGACTTCATTCAAATATGAACTTGTGTAAGTTGTGAACTATGACTATGTCACAGGCATAGCATGATCTAATTTGACAAAAAACTACTTTGAGTTTCTTATATTAAACAATTATATGTATTACAAAACATAATCAGCTGAAGTCTCACTCAATAATAGTAAAATGATCAGAAGTGAAATCGGTTGAAGAACAGTGCTGGGAACAGTGTCGGACCCACCCTTGGTCACGGTGGGTCACGTGACCTAGGAAAAAAAATTAAATTAAATTTTAAAAAAAAAAACAAAACAGTGACATTACTTTCTCTCTCATTGACAAATTCAAAGTCACTGTCTCACACTCTCACGGAAATCGTCACACGCCCACACCGGCACACCGCTGCCGCCGCACCTTCCAGCCACCGCCCACAGCCCAGTGGACCACCGCACGTCCGCACAGCCGCACTCCACTCCTACAGCCTTCTAGATCTAGGTAATTTAATTGATTTTCAAGTTTTTAATTTCATATTATACACTAATTGTTGACTTGTTAGGTTGATTTTGTGCTTAATTGAGTTGTTTATGTTATTTAATCTAGTCAATTAGTGTGTATGTTCTTTGAAATTGTTGATTTGTTATTAAATTTATCAAATTAGGGAGTTAGGGTTTCTGATTTTTTAAGAATTGATAATATTGAATTTCTGATTTTTTTCTCTTTGAAATTGATATTCTAAATTGACAATGGGCTAGTAAAATTGATGATTTCATATTTAATCTATGAAATTAGGGGGGTTAAGAACTAGGGTTTCTGATTTTTTTTGGAATTGATTAGTTTGGATAATTGCATTTCTGATTTTTTGAAATTGATACTAGAATTGGTCAATTGGATATGGTGATTTGTAATTTTGAATAATTGCCTTGAATTTGTATATGTTCAGTGGTAAGCTCCCTATTAGTGTTTTAGGCTTTTAGCTATACTTTATTATCAAGTTAGTGTGTATAATTAACTTGGATTTTTGAAGCAATTGTGGTTTTCTTAATCTAATTGATAATGTAACTTAATTTTCAGAATGAAAAGGAAAAAAATGTGTGATATCACAAGTTTCTTTGGTCCGAAAAATCCTCCTCCTTCACAAAATCCTTCTCCTCCACCTCTTCCTCTACAAGATCCACCTCTTTCACCACAAAATCCTTCTTATCCACCTCCTCCACCACAAATTATTAGCTTTTTTAATATTCTTGCATTATTGATTAGTATACGGTAGTGACCCAGCACCCGAAAAATCCCGGATCCGCCACTGGCTGGGAAAGTGGCATGTCCAAACAATGACTATCTTACTGGCTGTCAATTTTTCTTGATGCAGTTGGTACACTTCCATAATTAGTCCCCTACAGAGGAGATGAGAATTGTTGGACTAACAGGTGGGATTGCATCTGGAAAGAGCACTGTTTCCAACCTCTTCAAAGCTCAAGGCATTCCCGTTGTCGATGCTGATGTTGTTGCTCGGGTATTTTTTCTTCTTCTCCCTCTCTTTCTTGTTCATGGGGTTTTTATTGATTTTGATTTTGGATTACGACTGTTAATATGCATCGCCTATTTAGTCCTAATTGTGATCATCAATATCAACTGTTGGATGTCTAATTTGATTTTTTTGATGTTACTCTGGCTACGTTGATTCAATGCTTTTATGTTTTCCTTGGTGGGGAGGATGGTATAGAAAAGGGTTTGGAAATAATGTTGAGAATTGATTTAATCACATTTTTCTTTGGATTTTGGTAATTTTCCATTGAGCAAGGGTTGGGATGTGACTCTTAAGAGTTGGTTAAAGTTAGACACAAATGATTTTACATGACTGCATCTTGATGGAGTTCTGTTTGCTTCTATCTTATGTTTGGTGATGCTTTATTTTTTGTATCAACAGGAATGTTATGACACTGATTGTCATCAGTGTCACACTTGAAAGTCTTGAACTTCTTCTAATGGTTATAATTAAAATTTAGTTGAGAGTTATCCTTGTATGAGACATTAGGTAGCATGAATTCCCCTTATGTGACATTAAACTGCATGAAGTGGAATGTGTTAGATTTTTTTGGTCCTTTCTGTAATTTCTGTCATGAGGTACGCTTTAAATTTAACATAATCCAAGATGAGCCCTCGGTTTGGTAAGCTACCTTTTAGAGCGGGAAATCGAATAATGAGTGAATTAAAGAAGGGTAGCTTACAAGCAGAAGCTCCTACATATTTTAAGCTGGCGGAAGAAGTTTATTTTACTCTTACATCTTCGACCATAAACAATGGCTTTTTGTCTCAACATCTAGAATTCTAGACAGCTAACATAGCAGAACAGTGTTATATTTAGCGCTTAAGCCTTACTTGAGGGACAGTTGGTTGGTTGCTTGCTTGCCTCCTTTGAGACTCCTATTGTTCTAGTCTTACCCGATAAGGACGCTAACAATAATTCTTTTTTATGTACCGCATGGTTCGTTTATGTAAGAAGTATCCTCTGGTATTAGCACAATTTCTACTGTTTTGGCCTTTTCACTAGCCATTTTTTTTTCCCCCAAATTTTCTCTCCTCAGGCGGGTATTGCCATTACATCTTTGGATGATTGCTTTACAGCTGTTTTGAATCTAATTTGAGGATTTAAGCATTTTCTGTGTACTTTTCCGAAGCAAAGGCTGAAATTAGTGAACTTGAATTTTAGATTTCTTTCCCTTTTTTTTTTTTTTTTGAATAGTTGAATTTTAGATTTCTAGGTAATGTAAAAGCCTTCCAATTATTGTATAAATTGGTTGGATGGACACCCACCTGAGAGTGAAGAAGACTTTCCTTTGCTTCGGCGCAGGCTATTTGACATTACATTTCTTGTGAACTGAACTGGAGTACTTTCTCAGTTTTTATTTTTTTTTATTTTTTAAATTTTTTAAAATATTATTTCATACACTATACACAATTTTATGAATTGTCCCTTACTGAAAAACCTTACATAGTTTTTCGAATTGTCCCTTGATGAAAAACCATTTTTCAGCAACTCTTTTTGTACTTCCTCTGTTCTAGTAATACTGCAACAACTAGACTTTTGCTCTGTTTATCATGCTTGTTTGACCACAAATTATAATTTATACGTAAAGTAAAATATAGTCATGTGGGGGGTCTTGTTAGATTCGTCTCGTAAAATTCTTTCACAATATCAACTTTTTATAATTTTTACAACTATATAATTATAGATATTTAACATATAAAATGTGTTTTGGATGCGTAATTTCATCCGAGTTGCAATATTTGTGGAACAGAGAAAGTATTAGCCTGTAGAAGAATTTCTTCCCAATTTTTCTTTTGCAAGTTTTTGGTTGTGATCTCAAAATATGCTTGTGGTCAGAGATTGAGGGCTCTGATGTGTTAGCACACACACTCAAGAAAAAATTGTCTTTTTTATACGGAAAATGTAGCAACAACCACTCTGTATTTGCAGGGGTAAGATAATACATCTGCCATCCACCCTGTCAGGTGAGAACCCTGATTGTGGTACTGGAGTAATGATAACAAGCATGATATTAAATGTCTGGAATCCAAATTTGTTGCTCTTACATTTCGAACAATTTGCATATCACTACAATTTATGCCACTATGCCAGTATTTATGATCCTGGTTTTGATTTCAGGATGCATTGAAGAAAGGCACAGGTGGATGGAAGAAGGTTGTGGAAGCATTTGGGGATGACATTCTACAACCTGATGGGGAGGTGGATAGGCTTGCGCTGGGACGTATTGTATTCTCCAATTCTGATAAGCGTCAACTACTTAACCGGTAGAGTAAATCTTCCTGCAGAGTCTGATAAAGTAGTTTTCCTTTGCAATTCTTCCATCATTGCATGTTAGCATGAGCAATATGAAAGTTGAGATTATGACATTTTCTGCCATACCTCTACGTATTTAAATCAATAAACATTTATTGGATGTCCATTTTCTATCCAACTGCTAGGTCTGACTTTTTATGGTTGGTGTGCAATCCCATGCTTTGAGGACTTATTTTCTAGTTAGGGGGCAAATCTAGGGGAGTTCAAAGTTGAACTCATCAGTTTCGTTCAGAAAGAGTATTTTCTTTCGGTAACATGCTAACAGTCACGTGTATGATATGCTAATGTTGTGTGCATTATGCCACAGGCTTTTGGCACCTTATATATCCTCTGGCATCCTCCAAGAAACGCTGAAGCTGTGGTTAAAGGGACACAAGGTGATTGTTCTTGACGTCCCACTGTTGTTTGAGGCCAAAATGGACAAATGGACTAAGCCTATCATCACTGTATGGGTTGATCGCGAAACACAGCTAAAGAGATTGGTTTCGAGAGATGGAATAAACGATGAGGAAGCTAATAACAAAATAAATGCTCAGATGTCCCTGGATTCCAAGAGGAGCAAAGCGGACATTGTGATTGATAATACCGGATCACTAGACGAGTTGAAAAAACAATTTCAGAACGTATTGAATGTAGTCACCCGGCCATTAACATGGAGTGAATTCATGCTTTCTAGGCAAGGAGCTTTTTCTGCGTTTGCTTTTGTTGTTTTAGGTGTTCTTGTGGCTAAAAACATATTCAAATGCGATGCATCGTAGCCTTGCAGGTTACTGTAGTTATTGATCTGGGAAGAGTTTCTGGTTGGTGTTGCAGACTTGCAGGGAATTTTTTTCTAGATAATACAAAGTAGTATAAATGTAAAGGCTTTTCTTTCTGCTGTTTTCCTCTTGGTGATGATTACTATAGTCTCGCTGAATAAACGTAAATTTTAATTTCAACAGATTGTATCAACCAACGGCCATTCTACCAACACCACTCCCCTCATCACTGCCACAGCCCACAGGTCCACCGTCCACAAACCATTCTATATTGCCTCAGGGGAATCACCAATCTGTTGCCACCATGATCACTCTGCCTCAGCTTCAGACACAAGTCACCCCTGAAACCAACCATAGCAAATCAACTTCGAAGCCACTGGTGCACCTCTACCACAACCAACCTGTACAATCACTACCAAATCCTCAACCTATAGTCACCAACAAGCCCCAACAGCCAGTAACCGCAAACAGTCCCTAATGGCTACTGACCCCAACAATTGAGAGACCTAGCCCATCTCCAGCCACATGATGCGCATACTTCCTACATAGGCATTAATTTGCCTATGCACCACCACCATATTGCATTTTCTATAAGTTTGTTAAGGTGGATTGGGTCTCTCAATTGTTTTAGTCGAATTTTTGTAAGCTATTATTTGGTTGACATTCTAATTCAAGGGTAATCTACTTTCCTAAGATATAAAAATTATAGAAATTGTTTGGTTGACAAGAACATATTCCTCTGTAAAAAATTAAAAAAAAAAAAAAAATGACGAATATATTCCTAAAGATTTTTTGAAAAGATAAACGATGTAATATAACTTCTATATCAATTAATGTAAACCAAGTATTAAAAATAAAGTTCACAAGAAACAACACAATCCGTCATGTGTACGTACATAGTACACTCACTGACTCACCCTTAATTACCCTCAATTTAAAATTACGGCCCTTCTAATTCTACACGTACACGAACCACCCTTAATCTAAAATTTATGGCCCTCCTAGTTCATACGGAATTTGACATACTTGATCATATCCTTTAATCCATTTACAAAAGTATCAAACTTTTATAATAATTATGTGGATTCAAATGCAAATAAAACCAAATATATTTGAGGAACAAACATCAGCCGCACCTCATACCAACAAGTCTTCTAAAAAAAGCACCAACAAAATTAGAAGAAGAAAATGATTGAAGGATCAAGGACCAAATGACCAAAGCATCAAAGTTCACTTAGAATTAACTAGTAGTTTTTTTGACTAACTTTTTTTGATAACTGATTTACCAAACTATTTCTGTGACAAAGAAAATGACTTTGCATAAATTTCGCCCGTGAATATGCAATAGCTTTGGTGTGCAAGTGTGCATGCATGCAATAGCCTAGCTTTTATGGTTATAAGATGAACACACGTGAATTCTTTCAACTACTAAATCATATACTTGACTTAGCTAACTTATGTATTAATTAACATACTTCCTAATTTCAGTATTAGATATACTATTCATTATAAAGTGTGTAAACTAAATTATATCCATGCATTTGATATTCATTCTCATCCATACCAAAAACTCTATATATATTTTTCATAATTTCCCTTTCTTTTGCCTATTTTTGTAAGGATAATTTATGTGGAGTATGACCTAGAATATACTTATATACCTAAGGCAAATTTATAATCATTTTAATTTGCCATATTCAATGCATGTACGGTGCACCTATAGCTTGTTTATAGCTCGTTCAAGCTAACAATTTAAAATTTAAAAATTTGTATTAATCTCTTAGACCCTGTTCTTTTGAGCTGCTCTGCTTTGCCGAAATCCTCTCTGCTCTGTTTAAAATATTAACAATAATAATAATTAATATTTAATTGTCATAATAATAATTAATAATTCACAATAAAAATAATTAATATATAATAATATTAATTAATAATTAATAATAATTATTATAATAATAATAATTAATAATTAATAACAATTTCTAATATTTAACAATCATAATAATATAATGGTGCAAAGATAGTATGTTAGCATTCAACATGATGCGAATCAAGGAGTAGCAGATTCAACTATGACTGCACAATGGCGCAAAGATAGTATGGACGTAGTGCGATATCGTATAGTACGCCAAATTTGGAGGGCTAATCGATCGGAAAGCGACAATGAAGGTGATGACAATGAAGATCAAAGCGACAATGAAGATGATGACAATGTAATTTATATGGAAATAGATGGTTAATTCACCATGATATTAAACTCTTAATTAATTATGTTCCTATTTAGATATGTGCTTGTAATAATTTAAAGATGTTAAACTATTGTCTTTTATCTTTTTATTATTAAGATATGTTAAAGATAGTACACATCTATTTATGTTTTCATTCACCTAAACCAATGGTATGCTTTTGTTAATAATAATAATAATAATAATAATAATAATAATAATAATAATTAATAGTAACGATAATAATTAAATAATTTGATAATAATATTAATAATACTTAAAATAAAATAATAATGCTGAAATCTGCTCTACTCTGCTGAAATCTGCTCTACTCTGCTAAAATATGTTCTTCTCTGCTGAAATATGTTTTGCTCTGCTCTGCCCAAAAGCTCAAAAGAACAGGGCCTTAGTCTTGCTTTACTTGTCTCATTTGACCATATACATTTTTACAAAAGGAGAAGTTGGTAAAGAGAGTTTTGACAAAAAATGAGCTAATTTGATCAAATCAGTAGGCTGACTAAATAAACCAACCCAACTACATAACTAGCTATTTGCTCGTTTAATAGAAGAGCTTTTTCAAGCAACAAGCTGAGTGAGTTAGATCTGCTAATAAGAAGTTTAAAAATGGTGCTTTTTCGATTAGCAAATTGAAAAATTAAATTTTACGTACCACATGACAATTTTGTTCTTAAGTTACTATAATTTACATTCCTACCTACCCAATGTCAATGTCCTTATTTTTCATTTCACATGTTTAAGTACCACAACAAATACAAATTATCAGTTAATTTTACTAATCTAATCAACTAGCCAGAATATTTGATAAATCCAGCTAATCAAATCAATTTTTAGGACAACCAACTATCAACAATTAGTTATTAGCTATACTGTATAATCTAAATAAAGCAAGTAAAGTGAGAGGAGGAAGTATAGGAGTACATTTTTAATTTATGAAATACTCCGTAACTTCTAAAGACTTTTAAACCCTAGCCCTTAATTGGCAACAAATGTGCAAAATGGAAATCAATCAATAGTCATGTAGTAAAATATCATAGGAGTACAAATAAAATATTTCATTCTATGAAAGCAAATATTGAAATTTTGTGCTCACTTTATTTGAAAGTTTAACTACTTCAGTTGGAACTCTAGCCTCTAGCTTAAATTACATTAGTTAATCTATATATATATTACGTATCACGAGTAGCTACTTAGAAGTGTTGCTTCGCTAGATGCTGCCTACTTTCATCTATAAAAATTAAAATGATTGGAATTACAAATTGCAAGGCTTATTATTAATTTAATAAAGCTCGATTACTTGAGCTTGTTTAATAAGCTCAAGCTCAAAGGAACCAAATTCTTAGCAAACAAACCTCCAATATCACATGCAAAATTACAAAGCTCTTTTAAACTCAAGCCGTGCTTGAACACTAAGGCCTTGTTTAGTTCAACTTATTTTTACTTATTTCAGAAAAAATAAGTTTAGATAAGATCATATCAGAAAAAATAAGTTCAGATCAGATCATCGTTTTATGTGCAATTTTTTATCGCTAAATATCTTTAATTTCGTAATGAAAGTTACATATTAATAAAATACACATTATTATTACGAATCTAACAAGATCCCACTTGATATATTTTTTCCTTACAGATTATCGTACACTTAAGGTCAAAGTTTGGTCAAATCAGACAATAATATCATATCAGATCAAACCAAATCAAATAAGATCATATCAGATCAGACCAGATCAGATAAATTCATATAAACAAAAGTAAAGTGAACTAAATAGGGCCTAAATCCTTATCGAGCTTAACTCGAAAAAAGTAAACTCAAGTTAGGCATGCTCCACTCTATATTATATTTTTGTTTTTTGAAGGAAAGTACTACTTTATCGATTTTATCCTTGTTATGGATGAAAATTTTATAATGTTCGTTTGAAATATAACTGTCATAATGTTTTATATTAATTGGATAACAATTACGCTCATAAGATTAATCCTTTCTTAACCTTGGAGTAACTTTCCAAGTTTAATTATAAGTCGGTAAGCATCTTTGAAATCACTCAGTCAGTCAACTCGATCACCTCGTGTAGTTGTGTTCCATGAATGTACACTCATACATTTAAGGGGTTGTAAGTGCTTTAAACTATATATAGATATTATGACAACTTGAAATTGCTTCAAACCATAACTTAAGTAAAACTCAAATCAAATATTTGGTGGAAATTAAACGATAAAGAAGTAATCAAATTCAACCATAAATATTTTTTTATTTTGTTTTCCAATTAATCCTTGGCATCATAATTATACATGATTGTGGCTAGAAATGAAGCTTTTCAAATTAACCATAGACGAAGTGCAAGTAGCTTACGCAATAATGCCAACAGCTTCTTTTTCGATTAATTGCCGATGACATACATGCATGGCAAATTTCTAACCATGAAGAATATAAGGGGTTTCAAATTTCTTTTTCTTTTTATTTTATTTTGTAACCAATTGCTTAAGAAGCATGCATGTTAAATTAATAATCTATCTATCTGTTTTCCTACAGTGGAGTTCTTAATTTTTTTTTTTTTTTTTTTTTTTTTTTTTTTTTTTTTGTCAGAGTTTATAAAAAAGGTAATCACCTTTTCCCTATTCTCAGTTCATTGGTAAAGATTTGTTCGAGATCGCAACAGTAGTCATATTTTCAAATAAATACGTTCAAGTGAATCAGATGAAAATTATCCTTACGGCTACAACAAATTGTTAGATTGTCTCTTCGAATAGACTGTATATTCCGGCGATATATGTGTGCAAGAGATGTACCACAGTGCAAAACCTATTCAACACTTGTAGCTTTGATGAAGGAAGCCCTTATTTGATTCAATTTTATATATTTGTTAATTTAGATTTCATTTATAGATGTCATATAACTTTTTATAAATGAATTGGTTTGTTTAAAAAAAATAAAATTATTTATCTATAATAATATTGAAATATTATATAATTTATAATTTATACCCCCAAACAAATTACAACTCTTTACATTTTCATCATGATATAATTTAGGATTTTAGCAAATGGTTAGAGTTCCGAGATAGCAATAATCGTTTTATACACTATCATATATTCATATCTAGCTTAAGTAGCTTTCATATTTAAGGTATCATACTAATTAAATAACATACTTAAGACCTTTCATAGGTGAAAATTCTAATATAGTCTTATGACTTTTGACTATCACAATTTTTTTAAAATAGACGGCTGGGATTGTTTGTTTTTTTATTTAGCTTTAATTAGTAATTTTAATTAAAAAATATTTTTTTTAATTATTTTATATATATTTTTTATTTCTAGAATTCTGAAAATATTAAAAAAAAGTAAAATAATTTCTAGAAGATAAAAATATATTTAAAACAATTAAATAATTATTTTTAATTAAAATTACTGATTAAAAATAAATATTAAAAATAAATAATATCAACCGTCCATATTTAAAAATTGTGGTAGTCAAAAGTCATAAGGCTACATTAGAATCATCTTTTCATAGGAGGTGGATCATTCTCACATTTTTCATTCTCTTCATTTGTCACCCTAATTACCCAATCACAAACCATAACTTACTGTAATTTTAGAAATTAAAATGCAACAATTTTTGCATGTTTTATTATTATTCTTTTATTTTTTTTAATGTAACAATTTGATCGGCATGTTTGTCAATACACAACCTTGACCGTCTTCCATCAATATCTATGATTTTCTATTCGTATAGCACTATAGCTACAAATGGATATCATGATTCATGAAAATATATATTGTAACTAATCTAGAAAATATTTTAGATAAATATATAATGATTTATACTTCAGTAAAAAAAATTAAGTCAATGCCACTTAATAAATAGTGCAAAATGTCAAAGGGTACAATTAAAAAAAACGAAGAGAATACATGTGTATAAGTATACTTCTGTACATGGAGCGTAAAGTTTAGTGCAAAAAAAATAAGTAAAAATCTTCTATGTACAATTAGTTATAAAAACTTTCTTCTCATGCAGCCATCCATGCATGCTTATAGACTTTTGTACGAGTAGTGTAACCTAATTTAACTAAACAAAATTGTCCAAATTCAACAAAGCAACCTTATCTTCTAATGAAGAGGCAACTTTTCATTCTCGCTCTATTCTAAGGTAGTTCAACACTTTGGGTGATATTTATCCTCTCAAACACCCTAATTTTATTATCTTATTATACGTGAATCTCGCATTCACCAAAAAAAATAGTTATAGTTCAGTTCTATTGCTTCTATATACTACAATGTAAGTTTTTTTTTTTTTTTTAACAATAAATAAATTAATATATATATAAAAAAAATTATAAATGAATAAATAAACTTTTTTTCCCTGCATAAATTTGAATTCATGGCACATAACAATGCAATAAATCCTACTAAAAAAAGATGCATGCAATCCTTTTTGCATCTCCACAGAAATAAAATGCACACTCAACTTTACATATGTTGCATGAAAAAGACCTTCAACTGCATGCTTTTGTAGTCACGTAAGTTTTCAAGAAAAATCTAGACTTTGACACTTACTACTATTTGGTCCACAAGATCTTACGTTCAAATCTCAAGTCCCCTAGAGCTTGTACCCATAAATAAGCATTCGATTTACACTTATCTTATTCATCAACTAACACTGGAAAAACCATCAAGCAAAACAAGTAGTTTGTCTATCTTCCAAACTATTACAACCTTAAACACAATTACATATTTCTCTCGATATAAACGAGTTAAACTTTAAACTTTCTCATATTAGTCATGGCACCACCACATGGAGAGGCAGTTCTTACATCCTTCCCCATGCCTACAAGAAACTTCTCGAGACCACCAAAGCTTGCTAATGACAACCTTAAGAGGACGGTCTCTGACATTGCTTTCGAGTTAAGCAAGGAGATGGATAGGGAGATAGAAGAATCACAAGCTCTTCCGCCTATCTCAGAAGCAGAAGATGCAAAGTGTGAGTGTTGTGGGATGAGTGAGGAGTACACGCCGGAGTACATAAAGTGTGTACGTGACAAGTTTCAAGGTAAGTGGATATGTGGGTTGTGCTCTGAGGCTGTAAAGGAAGAAATGGAGAAAAATGGAGGGATGTGTAAGGAAGCCCTAGAAACTCACATGAGCCATTGTCATAGGTTCAATAAGCTTGGTAGGGCTTATCCGGTGCTATGCCAAGCCGAAGCCATGAGAGAGATTTTAAAGAAGAGCTCTAAGATTAGAGCCAAGTCTCTGAGCCCTCGAGACCTCAAAGGTGCTCCAAAGAAAGGTGGCATCACTAGGAGCTCTAGTTGCATGCCTTCCATGATGAATGACCTTACTATTGACAACTAACTCATCTATTGGCATGTATTTATTTTGCTTTGATTTACTTATAATTAAGCTTTTTAACTTCTAGGGTTGTTTTTGATGGTCGACAACATCGGATTCATTGTTTTTAACACCTCCTTTTTTTGGTTTTAAGGGGGGTTTTATCTTCTTGGATTAACATAAGTTGTGCTAATGATGATCCCACTTTGTTCTACACCTACACCCTTTTAGGGTTTCTTGAGTGGGTTCATAATTAGCATATACTAAATGAGTTGATGAGTACCATTATTAGTTTTATTTGTCTACTAATAATAGTAATTTGTTTATGTAATGAGGCTGCCATATTGTTTGTTAAGCCATTGGAGCTGCCATCTTTGGCCTTTCCTTTCGGCTTAACCGGAAGTCTTCTTGTAATATTTTGTATTATGAAATAACTAATAAAAACTTTGTATCTTTTAAATTTTTTTGTTTACTAAATTGACTACTATATGTATTACTTTTTCTTCTAAATTTACACAATCAGCTTTATGATTTGAAATATTATCTATCTTCTGCTTTCGTTTTACTAGGTACTCCCTTTCTTCCTAATATTTTGCCCCATTTGACTTTGCACGATCTCCAAGACGTGACTAAAATGATTTTATCTCCATTTTCATACTTGTAAAATTAAAAAAATTTATATTAATTAAATATTCAATAAGACGAATCTAACAAGATTCCATATAACTATATTATCTCTTATAGATTAACGGTATTTTATAGTAAAAGATTTAAAGTTTGACCCAAATTTTTGAAATGAGGCAAAAATTAAAGGACGAAGGGAGTATATAATAATGTTTATGGTCATGGACTGTATTCAACTTGAGGTTTATAATATTAGAGGCAAGAAGAGATAAAACAAAGGTTTGATTTATGAACAACCGTAACCATCTCCAACCCTATCTAATAAATAATAGACAACAATCCTATTTTGTCCCAAAATAATATACTGTAGTACTTTCCAAACTTATTCGTAGATTGAACAATTGTCCTTGATCGACAATTCCCTTATACTTAGTACTTCGTATAATTTATATCATGAAAACAGTTTGATATGACAGGGATGTTAAAACTTAAATAATACGGAGTAACAGATGATTACTATATATAACACAAAAACTTTAAAAATTAAATGGCATCAAAACTAATCTGCCTTATTATGTTGGGTTAGTGTGGCACAAATTTCATAAGCCTAATTAATTATGTCTCAAGGTATCTAAAAATTTCTAGAAAATTCACGTTAAGTGAGAAATTGATGGAGAATTGTGGAAGAATCTAGAATTGGTAAATTATCCTGAAGATTTGTTCTAAATTTATGTGGCAATCTAAAGAGCATGTGTGTAGAATTTTTCACACACTTCTTCCACCTCCATACATCACCTATAAATAGTGGTGTTGGGCGTCATTTGAATGTATGTATCCACCTACTACATCATCCTCCAAATACTCCGATGTTATACACTCTATGAGTGTCCCTCCATAATCCATACATATCATTATCGAAATTTCTACCTACACATACACAATCTCCCTAATTCACTGTCCTAATTTTGCACTACTACATTGTGAGTTATACTAAGAGTTTTCTTGTACTACTCACCCTTTCAAGGGTTCTTATACTCTCCTATTTTCATATAATAGATTATTTTGAATGCTCATCATTCGTGACTTTTTTTATAATTTTTCACACGAGTCCATTTTTTTTTATTACTTATTTTGCCTTCATCTTTCTCCTAATTATTTTATCAATGTCTATATCTTTAATTTGCTTCTGTTGTGTCCACTCACCAACCCAAACATATTATTTAGGACAAAAATGAAAATATATTTTCATGCAAAATCACCTCATACCCCCGTATAGTTCACCTTAGCTTTTATTATTGTCCAAGGACACCAAAAAATTTATTTTCGTGAAGCTTCACATGAAATTCTTTCCTATGCAACTACTTTTTATGCGAATCAAATGTGTCATGAGACAACATAGATATTAGGAAACACTTTAGATACTAAGTGTTTGACTCAGCGTGCATGTTTACCTGAAAAATTTTACCAGTGAATTGGTTGATGCCTTTGTTTCATGTCCATTGTGCTCAAAATTTGCTCAAAGTACGAATTGCCTATTATCATTTTTATAACATTCATGGTACTGTTTTGAGATGTTCGAAGAATTATCATATTTCCTAAATATATATCGGTCTATGTCACAATTGAATTTTCAACTGGACTCCAACTTTAAATTTAGTAATGCAGATAGGATGTGGAGGATTTCAATACATATTGTTATATAAAGATGATTAAGTGAAACTACAATTATCAATAATTATGAAAAGTTAAATAATGATCATAATGTCACAGAGAGTATTCATCAATGTTCTTTCTCAACTTTCACATTAAACAGGACGTATTGCTCAAGTGATCTGAGTACGAAGAAATGGGAACTACTCTCTTATGTGTTAACATTGGGAAATTCTTCAATCAAAATTCCAACAATTCATTGCAAGAACATTATTGTAGGCGTCGTTCAAAGCGCGCCTACGTAAGCATGTGGAGAATATGCTTGGCACTCATAGAAAGTGGGAATTGACATATACGATTAGGGACAAATAAAATAGGGAGCCGCCAACAAGTCTTTAAGGAACTTGTAAACCGTTCACGGATCATTATAAGGCAACCACGATTAAGGGACAATGATAGGCAACAACGATTAACTCGTGAAGGTTACACCCCATTCATAATCCATGAGATTATTAACTCCATATGGTTCGGAACCACGAAAGGAGGATCGGGGATGATGGTACGAAGTGAGTCATGGAGTCACATTCGCCCATATTGGCCTCTACTCAATTCTTATTGTGAAAAGTGATTCCTGCGATCTCAAAGGCATGCAAACAAAGATTCAATTTGTTCCAAACTAATATTAAGCTAAATTGGTTGAATATTAATGCAACACATAATTCTAATTATTAGTTATCACTTCGATTAAACAACAAGATTAAAAAGGAACCTAAACCAGTCGTCCAAATTATCTTATTAGGCATTTTTATCAATTACATATTCCCTTTAAACATGCAATATAGTGATCAACAATAAACAATAGAATAAACATCAACATTGGAAGCAATTTAACCATAATATCGTGAGTCAAATCAAATCATAATAATAACCCTAATCATGATACTAGCAATAAAGAATAAAAATAAGAGTAATTAAGTGATTAATTACTCACTTTCCGTGTTTCCTTGAATTGCTACATCATGAATAAATTGTTAGTAATTTCAATAAAAATATGAATCAAATAGAAACAATTAAATTAAATAAAAAGTAGAGTTGATTTGGTCCAAACCCTCAGTTAATTCTACCTTTCACGACTTAGTTTAAGTATAGAAATTCGGGTCAAGTATGGACTCCTTGGAGTGCTTAGGGGAAGTATTATGAGAGAATGGGGAGGCTAGTATTTAGGCTAAAGAGGAAGAAGAGAATGATTTTTGGTGTAAGGAGAAAGAGAATGATTTTTTGGTGTATAAGAGAAGAAGAGAAAATGATTTGATGCCCCAAAACTGGAGAAATAAGGTTCGTATTTATAGAGAAAATGTGAGGGGTGAAGCACGGAACCCTAGAAGTGAAAAGGTGCCGCAGAGAAACCCTAGAAAAATGTCGCGTCACGGCATGTGTGCCGCGACACGGCGCAGAATACCGTGACACGGTGCAATATACCACGACACGGCGCAGAATACCGTGACGCGGTGTGTCTGCCGTGACACGATGCACATGTTTTCCTGAAAACAGTCCAGATTCATTTATTCCTAGCTTAATAATTAAGTACATGATATATTATTCGTCGTTTCAATTATTTTGGATTAATTTCAGGCTTAGGGTTTTTATTATTTATTAATCGGACTTAATTAATAAATAACACGAAATGAATTAAAAGGGTTTTGGCTAGGATATGAGCTTGATTGAGTTTGAATAAATGGTTTGACTGAATATGTTTGACTGAATATGGATTTTAACCACTTTCGAGATTAAATACTCGATCCGACCAATAATGGCGGTAAAAGGTTGTTCAATCATCGGGTTTGATTTGGGGAAGCCATTTTTAGGTGTCTACAATTACTATTTGTTGGGTTAATTGATAATTAGATCATGCGAACCTTAAGCAAGTAAGCTAATCCAATAATAAAGCACAGAAATAATAGAAATTGAGACACCAAATTAAACAGAAAAGCAGTTTCAGGTCTCTGCCTGCCTAGCCGTAACGTAACTTCCATAGATAAATTCAGTTTAACAAGGTCTCCTTAGAAAGAACCAGGAGAGCAAAAGAAACATATTACTACTTCACAGTCACATAAATAACCCTGTTTTGTTTTAAGTATTTAGCTTGGGAGTGCTAGAGCTACTAGAACTAAGGCTGCGGCTATTAGACGAATGACCAGTTCATAAACATGAAGCATATGCAGTGAGCATTCTCTTCCTCGTTCAGAACCTTCCATGCCACTGCTCTTTCATATGACACCGGACGACCCATGCTCGACAGACATATACCACCTTGAAGGCAAGCAAAACCCTGCAGAGAAATTTAATGGACATGATAGCATCAGCAGTTAGTACCAACACATGTATGTCACATGTAAAGAGACTTTTATTCTCCTTCGATATATACTTTGTATCTTTTTTCAAAGGAAAAAGTTTTGTAGGTAAAGCAATCGTTAGAACCTGTTGAAGAATCTGAGGAAATTCTGAGCATAGTGTCTTTCGTCCTTGGTCATCCAAAATCTTCTCCAGTGTGATGTCTTGCAGAGCAACCAAGGTTGTTTCAAGCATGTCAAGACCTGCCTGATTGGCAAAGGTAAAAACTGGCAAAGCCTGCAAAACAATAGTCCCTCAGTCAAATAATGAAAAATTCAGGTAATTAGTCTTAACATAAGAATATTATGGAATACAATCTGTAACTATACGAAATACAAAACAAAATTGTTTATGATTTGCAAATTTAGATCCATTGGTAATACTAGCATATAGTATGAGTCTTCAAAGATTTTGAAAAATGAATTCCTAATAAAAGAAAAAAAATATATATCACTGATTAAATATCGAGCGAAAAAGATCTTGAAACATTATGAATCAAACAGGGAAAATACAATGAAAATCCTCTGAATTTTCGATCTTGAAAACTCAATAACAAGGAGCAGCACAAATGGCTCACCTTCAAGGAGCAGCACATAATGGCATCAGAATGATGCCACAGAGTCTTGAGTACAACATCGTTACCATCACCAGTGGATTTGAGTAGCTCTACTCCCAAGTAGCATCTGACAAGAAAGAGACAAATCCAAAAGCTTAACAGAAATTTTTTATTTGACCTTGACCAACATTCAGTTTTCCATGAAATTCTACATACAAATCTAGATGCATTTATGCATATACTATATTCTCACATGTGTATAGTCCCATACATGATAAACTAACATATCCAATTTCAATCAAATACAGGACATAAAATTACATGTGTTTTAAAGATTGCTAGATTTGGGAAAAAGATATGAACATAAATAAAAATTTCACCTAGCTAAAGCTTTAGAAAAACACTCAACACTGTAAATATAAAATAGCTTACTAAATTTTCAACACCTTAAAAAAATATTATTTAAAATAATCAGCAATTTAAAAATCTAACTTACTATGAAGTACAAGTATTACTTAGCTAACAGAAGTTGCTTACTAAATAGTGCCAAAATCTTAAAATTGGGATATGAAGGTGTTTTTTTCTCATTCAAGTCTCTTAACTTTTTTATGACTACTCATGATAGTCCCTAAAATCCGCGATTACTTTTTGGGAAAATCATCTTTTCCCATATAATAAAGACACCACATACATTTTACTCCTTATTTTCAAAATCCACATCATCTTCCTTGAAATGATTTTTATCAACCATCATTTTTCCCATTCCCTAGATTTAAATGAGATTACTCATTAGTCATTACCAGGCCAATTCAAACAGCAAGCAATTGATATTTTCAAACCTGCATAACTTTTGAGTCTTTGTAAAATAAAAATGCAATGCAATGATGTCAACTTTTTTAGATTTGTCAAACTTAACTAAGTTGCTCAAATTTTCTGAACTTCTGAACTTTTCCTTAAACAAGAAAAGTCAAGTCAAACCATCTCAGAAACAAAAAATATTAAACATTCAGACTGATCAGCAACATTTTGGCAAAGAACGGAATTCGCAAACATGACATCAAGCCCTTAACAGATATCTTTCAGGTTTGTAGGAGAGGTTCTGATGGAGTTTATCATTGAAGCTATAGGAAACTTAACCATAAAGTGATGTTAAATGAGCACTTTTGCTGATACATCACAGAATTTTATAATTATGGGAAGCTATGACCAAGTTTTCGCTAGACCTTTTCACTAGCAAAGAATATTTCTGTTTCAGATTTCATTTAACAGCTATTCTGGAATCTGGAACAACTTAACTGCCTGGAAATTATAAGATTATAACTGTTTCTGAAGGCCTCACACATCAGGCTAGGGACAGGCATTATTGTCATAGGTCTAAGAAGTGCATACTTTTTAGACCACATTAATTTAGACGCAAGCATTTTTTTTAGAAGTTACCCTAACCTACACAAAAGAATATATGGGCAAACCACAAGAGCAGAGAGTTGATTCCAAGTATAACAATAGTCTGGGGACAAACCTATAACTCTGGCAAATCCATCGAGCTAGAGTGTGAGCTTCTGGATTTCCAAGTGGTGACCTAAGTCCAGCTTGAGAACCCAAATGAGGAGATAGAGCCAATGCCACCCTCTGAACTGATGAAATAATGCTGCGAACATACTGTCGAGCCATAGATGCCACATTGTCTTGCAGATGGCTCTCAAAAGCGAATTGAAATGCAATAGTCATCACTGATCTCATGCTATTACCAGAAGCAGAATGATCAGAAGATCTGTTTGCGGATGAACCAACCTCCAGAGCAGACGCAAGATCCAAAGTACGGTTTGGACTCGAGGTTTCCTGATTTAACAACAGTGCAAAAAAAAGTTGCAAAAACATGAGCTACCTTCCACCAAGAAAGCTGTGAACTTTACAAGGTAAAAAATTGCAGTTTCCAAAGTGCAACAACCTTCACAGAATCAAGAGGAATGATGCGAAAACCAGATGGCAGGAGAGGAGCATCATCAGCAAAAGAAGCATCAATAGGAGCAAATATGAGTTCAGCACATGTGCCAACAGCATTCTCATCCATTCCACTGCATAGCTGCCAAGATTAAAAGCACGTCAGGGAAGAAAATGACGAGAAATTTTAAGAGAATAAATTAAAAACGATATATCAGAGTTATAAAAGAACATCTTAAGAAAGGGGTATTCAGGTAATGTTAACACAGCGTGATCCTGTCAGTGATTAAGCATTGAAATAGGAGGTAGGCTGCATGTAATTAAAAAATCTAGATGATTTGAGAGATAAAACAGCATTGTATGTATCAACCAAACAGGAAAGAATTCTCTTCATACATGCCCCAAATAACTTAATTTCCACTAAGTTGCTCAAGAAGTTTTATTTGCAGTGTTGTTGTCAGGTAATCTGGTGCTCTGGTTCTTTCCTCTGACCAATCTTCAATTGAAGCAGACATTGAGACACTAGCTGATTATAGGCTTTAAATTAACAAGGATTGATTCACTCTATATATTGAAACAACTTAATTATCAAATCTTAATTTATAAGCTGAAGTTCCACGCTAAAGTCTGACGGAAATTAAGCGTCCACAAGTGCAATTACAAGACTGGGGCAACAAATATCTTACGGCTTCTGTTTCTTTCAACAACTTTAATTTTATTGTTGTTCCAACTAGTAAATCACATCGAGATATTTGATTTGTTTGTTGTTTAAACTAAACCGGTTAGCTAACAAAATTTGTCATGGTGATCTTGTGCACACATGCAACTTATACTTTATTTTTACAAACAGTAAGCAGAAACGGAGATAAGACAATTCACACACTGATTCATCATGCGGGCAAATAAACTTTGAATCAAACATGTTATAATGAAAAATGGACATAAATAGCAAACTTGAACAATAATTTGCAGGTCTCATCATACTGTATACACCAACTCTCAATTGCAGTTTTATAGGACCCTAATAAGCATATGGTCTTTTACTATCAGATTTCATTTTACATGTTTCGCGATTAACAGGAAATAAAGTGGTAGCCCAGCACTTACTTGCAATAGGAACATGTCTCTTGGCATCATAGCATCTTCAGGACAACTGACAACACCTTCAAGCTTAATGACCTCCAATAACTAATCACATGGAATATGACAAAAATAGTATTAATCATGTTATACAAAGTGACAAGGATCAATTCCTTCGCAAATACAATCGTTGACATACAATTAAAAGCTTACCTCTTCATGTTCAATGGTGTGTGCCAATGGAAGTATAACTTGATTACCAAAGCCCCCAATTCGTGCTCCAGGCAAGCTGCAGGGACTAATTTTGGCAGCTGCTGCCAAGTAAGCATCAATGTTGTTGTCAGCCCATTCTGATCTATGCTCCCGAAGGAACCTAAGAAGTACTGCTGGCGGAACATTCTGCAAAATATAAAAATTAAGCATGGAATTAGATATCAAATAGAGAATGAATAGAATAATCATATTTTGATCTGCCTTACAAGTACACAAAAACAAAGGGCATCAAAGACCATTATAAAGGCATTGATCAATCTACTCCCTATGACCCAAACAAATTGTTCTTTTTGGCTAGAGAAAGTATAAAATTTGGTTCATGGGATAATAACTGTCTCACTCTAATCATACCCTTCAAAGTCTCTTTCTCTTGGCCTCTCTCATGAGCCAACATTTAGGTCATAAAAAAGATGGTTCTTGGGTAACATGAAGAAGGAATGAAGAAATAATTAGTCATGGTTAATGATGCTCTAAGAAACCTACTAAAAAGAATCAATACAACAAAAGGTTTTAATGCATAGGCACCACAAGCAAACTCAAAAGAGTCTATATAAATTTGAAGAAAGCAAATCTTTAATTGCAAGCTTTATCATATCAAGCACTGCTCCCTCCTTTAGTCAGCCTAATTAGAACCAGTGAAACTCATCAACGAGTGAATCTGGAATTGGAATCCATCAACTTGTATTATCGATCACCATTAAACTAATTGTGAATAAAAACTGCCAAATGATTTTAAATCACATATTAATTTTACAATGATTTGAGAAGGATACTTCTCTACTAAGTCAAAACTTTCTCTGTAACCTAACAATCTAACATGTCTTACTTTTTATGCATATGAGCAGATTGGAAGGAAGTATTAGTAGGTTATACTCCACGGCTTAACATACAAAAGTGGTTATTGATAACTTTTTAAACTTAATGTTCTGTATTCTGCAATTCATGAGGATAAGCATTCCCTGCTTCTGTACTGGCTCCATACACTGATACACAGGAACAACCCAGGTTCTAGGCAACACTGGGACACACATAAAGGGAGAACCTTCCCTTGAAATGGGTGCAACCATGCATCCATCCGCGAAAGTGTCAACCAGATTTCATCTCAGGTGACATGGTAAGGAGACATCCTTAAATGCCCAGCACTATGATGATATTACCCAGCATGATGACACCAAAAAATCCTAGACAGATCGATAGCCAGTGGGTTTCACATTGACCCACCCCACTTTAAACTAGAAAGTAAATAAAAATGCTTACTCTATCGTACACAAGGAAACCAAAAATCCAGAAAGATACAAAATTCAACAGTCAACCCGGAGTCTATTATCCAGTATTATAATTTTATTGTGCTCTTTATCACAGTGATTTCAAATCAGATAAACAAATTAAAAAACATAACAGAATCAAGCCCTCTAAGAATTGCAAGAGCCTCGGCCACAATGCACTACTAGTCAGTTTATTCAAAAGTTAAGGAACCACCAATCCTGTAAACCTTCACTACTTGAAGTTCAAGAGGCAAGGATAAACCAACAATGCTATCCTGACAGAATAATAATTCCACGATGGAGACAGAGCCTTTAAGAAAATGTCCCCTCTAAACGCTTTGGAATTGTGCAGGCGTTTTGAATTTGAATAAAAACCATAAGAAAGGCAAAGTAGACAAAATGATTTCCTACCATAAGGACTTCTTATACAGCGAAGCACAGGTATTAAGAGAATGCAAAATCTTGAAGTCCATTGATGCAAAACTTATTATTTGACATCGCCTTCAGGAATGGAATTTTTTGCGCAAAAGAAATTAATGCAAACCTGTAGAAGCATTGAAGCTTTGGCACATAAAACCGTATTGCTCACAGCTGGAAATCCATTAGCAAATGTAAGGTTCAACGCCATCAATTTATCAGGTGACGAGTTAACAAGAACAGTGACATCATCTATGCCATCATTTCCAATCATTGACCATCCTTCATCAGTAAACCCATTCAGTGCCTCATTAAAACCCCTGATACATTGGAAACCATCATATTCTGATAGCAAAGGAATTAAAGGAGAACCAACATCTTTAATAAATCTTAAGTGTATACCCACCTGCTCAGCCTCTGGCTAAGAGCTCGCAAAGCTGCAGGTCGCCTGCCCCAATTAGAGATATTAGGCTGGGAAACTTCCTGAGCAATCTGCCTCAGTTGACGCAGTGCCTGCATCCCAACAGCAATATATTAGGAGAATTAACCAGAACATGCACCAAATGTCCAGGATTAGTTTCAATCATACAACCACCCTTTTTACTACTAACCTATGACTGGCTCGAGCTTAATAGCTCCTAATGGAAGTAATTCATAATCCATAATTTGAGGCTTAAGAGAAAATCCTTACCGCCATAGTGGTTTTCTGGGCTATAACTGTTGATGACTCATACAAGGGGCGCAACACTTCAGGCACACTCCATGGCTGTTACACAGTATGACAATTCAGAATTATTAGTTATCAATGTCGTCAACTTGCATCATAATTAAGCATCAAAAGATGGAAGTAATGTTAACAGAATATTTTGCACCTCAAGGTCCATATGGTCAACAATGTGTATTATGGAGCCACCCCCTTCACAAGGCCTGATAAGATACCCACTAGGGAGCATTTCTGCTCTAACAAAATTCTGCACAGTAGGCATGCTCGAACCATTCTGAGTATTGTTAAGTGATCTTTCACAAACCTGTATGTGGAAATACATTATAGAAACAAGTACAGGGATTAGCCGTGAAACAAAGAATCCCTAGAGCACTTTTAAGTCCCAAGATAATTACTAATAGTATTAAAGAACAAACATAACTCAAAAGCATACATACCACCAAACTGCCATCCTCCATGACAGAGGTATAGCGAAGCAACCAGAAATCTCGAGCAGGTGCCAAAGTTGTCGGAGCATAGAGCTGAAAGCACCAAATATCGTGAGAAAGGCCAAACTAAGCAAGTAAAACAAAAAAGGCTAACCATAAAGCTCAAATACACTAAGAGAGATTGCTAACCTGCATGTATAGCAGCTCAACGGTTCCACCATTGGCAGTAGGCAGCACGTTAAGCACATCCACAGCTCGGCAATCGCGAAACCACGAAGGCCTATCCTTGAGGATTTCTGCAACCTGAAAGATGTGCAGCATAAATGCTCAATTCAACTTCAAATAAACAAACAAAATACCTATTAATTCACTCTTAAAAAGTAAATTGAACTTACTCTTGTAGGTTCAAGACCCACAAGGCCGCAGGCTCGTGCAGCTACACCAGTGCAACCATGAGAAATAGCAACGATTCCAATGGAATCCGGACCAGGCTACAATATTTAACCACAAATTAGCAACCCAAACACTATATATAAAATTAATAAAATCTTCTTAAAACCCAAGTTTCCACAACAATTTTCAGTACTAAAATGTAATTCCTAACAGCTTTTTATTAAATAAAACACGTTCCTTAACTAAATTACTAATCTTATTATCTAGATAGATTAATGAACAAGTAATGATATTTAATTAAGAAACTAATTTTAAAAAGGTACCTTCATTCCAGGCATTTGGACCCACTCTACAGCAGTTCCAGTGGCCTTTGAAAGAAACTCTGCTAAAGTTTCTTCTGCAATGGACAAAAGTCTGAAAAACAAAAGCAGAAACTCCAATAACCACACACCCAACAAAGAAAGTTTCACAGTAAACGATGTTTTTTTTGTTTTACCAGAAAATGACACAACAACCAAATTATTCCCCCACTTACCCTGCAGGACTAGCATCTCTTGGAGGATTCTGTGGCGTCAAATGGTGTTGACCACTCGTCACCACTGATTCACAGCTTGTGTCTTTACTAGCAATCCCAGACTGATTACCACATTATCAACGAATTAAAACATGTTAATTTATTGCATTAATCATACGCGGACTAATTGAATTAAGTTACGGGCCAAAACATTAATTACACCCGTCAACATGTGACTTTGTCGTGAAATAATGAAATTTCATTAAAACATGTTATAGTTTTTTTTAATCATACGCGCGCTAATTAGATTAGGCTACGGGCCAAAACATTAATTACACCAATCGACACGTGAATTTGTCGTAAAATAATGAAATTTCCGGGAATATTAATACCCACTTAAATGTAGCTTTGGATTATGCTCTTAAGAACAAGATTAGTAAACAAAGTGTATCAAAAGATAAAGTCTTTTTGCTTACTTTCTGAGTTTGCTGGCGAAAATAGCCATTTTCATACACAAGCTGTGAAACTTGTTTTTGTAACCTATCATTTTCCTCCATAAGAAGCTTATTCATAGCAGTCAACTTCCTATTCACAGCTTGTAACCGTGATGCCTCTTTTCTCTGCTTCTCCCTACATCTGTTCCACATTTAAAACACACAATACTTAAAACCCCAAAAAAAAAATCGGGTAAAAAGTAGAAAAATAATCACAATTTGACTCAGACTGTCAAACACTATAATGTCTATAAAACATAACATGAGCATACTATAATATTATACGAAGTATTTAATACCAACTAATGTAATCGCGTGTCAGACCGTCTGATACAAGAATTTGCAACAATATATTTATAATTAGTATGAATTACTATATTCATGCCACAAGCTAAAATGACAACATTAAATTAGTTAAAATTGACATGAAAATCTCGCAAAAGAGAGGGAGTATAATATACCTTCTGTTCTGAAACCAGACTTTGATCTGCTTAGGCTCAATATTAGAGAGAATAGGGCACTCACGAATGAGCTGCTGACGGCGAAGAGAACTGGGTTTTGGACATTCATGATAAAGCCTTTCAAGGGCTTCAACCTGCTCAGGTGTGTACCTCACATATTTCCCATTATCCATCACTCCCTTACCATCCTTGCAGGACATTGCCATCTTCTAACAAACTCGACACAATAACCTCCACCAATGCAATAGCTTTCGACACGAAACAATATCTCTCAGACACACTCGATGTCTGAATGGATTGCAATCTAGAAGGATAGATAAATAAATACTACTAGTAAGATGAACTGTATTTTTTTTTAATGGGGATAATAACAACGTAAGAAATTATCTGCTAACATAAGATGAAGCAGCGAAAAACACAAGGAATGTTTTCTTTGTTCCCAAACTTTCGAGATCAGAGCTCTTGAAATTTTCCTAATAATACTCCAAGCAACCAAAAACAGTACCTTACTAATTATAATTTTGTAATAATAAAAAACAACGATCTAAAAAGCGACGAAAATCCGCAACTCCAGAACCATGAAACCCATTTTTCTTCTTCCTTAACTCTCTTCAAAAAGCGACGAAAATAATACTGATATTTGTATAAATAAAAACCATAGGTTATACGATAAAAATGAAAAAAGTGGGAAATATCTGAATAATTCAACGATAACCGAATAATTGAAGATGGTTAATCAAGATCTCTGAACTTATAACTAAAAGCAGAAATTTCTTCTTCTTCTTCTGAGAAGCCAGCATCTTCTTTATTAGTAACCCAGAATCAGATTGACTTGATAGAACAAACTAAAGATTACCCAGAAACTCTGCATTGATTAATTTGAAGAAAAAGTACTAAATTTAAGCTGAAAAGGGTATTTAAAGCTTTGAATTAAAACCCTAATTTTATAATTTGGGGATTTTTTTTTTGTTGGATTGATTGTTGCTGTTCTGTAGCAGAGAAAAGAGAGGAGTGTAGCTTTTTATTTTCTCTCTCTTCAATGGTGAGTGTTTGTATTGCTTTATCAGCTGTTTTAGGGTGTATAGTTACTAGTATAGGGAAGAGGGGATATTTTTAATTAATACTTTTTTAATGGGTTTAATAAAATAAAATAAAAAGAAGTGGGAATTTTTGAAATTGGGAAAAATAAATATTATGACAAAACTACCCTTTGGTTAAGGGTTGGTTTTACAATGTACCCTTAAAATTTGGGATTTTTCTAAAATGGCTTGTAGGTGAAGGGTGGGGTGAAGATTGGCCTAAAAAGAGAATTAAAACCATTTTAAATTTGGTTTAAATTCATTTAATTTAATTTATTTCTTTTTTTAGTGTGTTTTTTGGTGGGACAAAAGGAAAGGCCACAACAACAGACAAGAGTTTGTAGGATCAAAGTTTTGTGAGATGATTGGTGCAAAGTTGTTTTTTTCTTTTTTTTTAAAATTTCTTTTTATCTTTTTTCTAGTATTGTGTAAATTGGAAATTAGTGGGTTTGAAAAGGTGAATGGATTTTTCATGGCAATTGATTGCCTTGGCACTATGCTTTAAGTTTTTTTAGGGAAAAAGGTCATGTTTATCATGCATGCTCCTAAGTTGGCAATGTGTATATATGCATGCTAGTAAGTGTGATTTGCAAGATCTCTTCCTCTTTTTGTTGTCTATGGACTTATTTTTAAGAATTGTCTAACCAAATAAAGAGGTTTCACTTTTTTCAACCGTAGTGCAACCGGCTGTAACAAAAATAGAGGTGTTTCGAGTTGATTCTTATTTGCACTGTAATATCTAGTTGTTATACATACAATTCTGGCACTTTTAGCGTGAATTAGAAGTTTTGTATGTCAGAATAAAAGTCGGTTATATTATCATGCATAAACATTGTATCTGCTAAGAACTAATTACTCTTGTGGAAAGAAAGATAGTATATCATGAATTTTAAAAGGCCAATAATATACTTCATAATGCTTGAAAAAATTCCAAAATTCCAAAGTGAGAAGAATATCAATATTCTTAACCTCTATAATTAGAATTTTCTTTATTCATAGATAATTTATCATCATTGAGAGAAAAGACACCTAATAATTAATTTAATGTATACACCTTAATAAACATCACGTTTCAATAAATTCATAATTGGATAATTAAGTTTCAATAAGTTTAAATCAATCAAATTCACTCAAATAAAAACATACCCGATAAATAATGTAACAAGGAAATTTATCGGATAAGTTTAAACGATTCTCAAAGATGATAGCTTTACTTGCATGATACTCATATAAAGGAAAGCTATGAAAGTTCCATAACCACAAATGCATGGTGCACAAAATTTTCCACTTTATACTTCAAGTCCCCATGTTCAACCTAAGCTAGGTTACATTTACATGCACGGTAAAAAAAACTAAGATTTACTGTAGTAACTATGAAATTTTTACTGCTCAACATCCACATCCACATCCACATCCACATCCACATCCACATCCACACGCTTATCTACTGTCTCTAACAACAAAATATAAAGAGGTGGGCCCGCTCAAACTTTGATGCCAAATTTAGTTACCAAAGTTGATGGCAGTTAATATTAGGGTACTTTAATAATGATCATAGCTATAACTTAGGTTAAAAATAGACAGTTAATATTGATGGCAGATATGGTAAATAAGTATATAAAGAGGGACAAAAATGGAAGAAGTTGTTATGGTTCAGAAAAAAAGATTTTTGAAAAAAATAAATTAAATAAAAAGAACAAAAAAGGAGAAAATGGGGGGAAGAAAGAAGAGAGAGATTGCGTGGGAGACAGAGGACAGAATGATGAGTCTCTTGCATGCGTCTCGACTCTCGATTTCTAGCTTAGCTTCACTTACAATATTTTAAGGAGTAATAACCTTCTCCATAATATTTATTGTCCCTTGCTATTTTTGAGAATCTATTTTTATACATTATACCTACTTTTTTACTATATATAATATGAAGAGGAAAATTAATTGAACACGGTGAATTTATGCATTTGAAATTTTAGGCCCTGTTTGGTTGACATGATAATTAAATTTTCATAGAAAATTGTATTTCATGGAAAGTTATATTTCCCTAATGAAATTACTAGGAATTTCCTAAAATTGTTTGGTATGTAATGTGGGAATTTAGAAATCCCATGAATTTTGATTGACATGGGGGGCTAGGTAATTTACTTCCCTTGTTTTGTGGGAAGTTGAAATTTCCATGAATTTTCACTTCCCTCATTTTTGCTTTTCTGTGTCAACCAAACAACTCCTCAATTTATCAAATCCCATGAATTTCGACTTCCCTCATTTTATGTTGTCAACCAAATAAGGCCTTAGAGATTGATCTTGTTTGACGATCAATTTAATAAACAATAACATAATTTTGTTATTTTTAATATTTATTGTATTGGTTATTTACTTGCATTTTTATATTTTACGAGTATGTAATATAATTACGGAGCGTCTTAGAAAAAAAAAATTATTTAGGAATGAAGCAGTATTTCGTTTGAATTAGCATGTACTTCGTATTTTTTTTGTGTAGGGTGAAACGGTTTGAGAGCATCACATATATGTTTTGATTAATCACTTTTTAAGTAGTTACGTTTTTCCAGCCAAAATAAATGCAATGTAAAGCGGCTTTTTGAAGTTTTTCAAGCCAAATTTGTTATTCCATTGTTGTTGTTTATGCAAAGAATAGTACTCCGTATATACAATATCTAGAAATGCATATATAGGCATGCATTTAATATGCTGTAGATGGAAATATTAAGCTAAACTAAACATTAATTATATCAAACAACACTTGATTTTATCACGCTTTATAAAATTTTGTTTATGCTTGTCAATGTAAACCTTCAAACATTAGTATGTATATCTAATTGTGTATTTGTAATAATTATTAAAAAAAAATTGATATTTCAAAAATATGTATTGATAATGAGATATGTCGATCTAAAGAAACTCTACATAAATATATACTTTCTCCGTTCTTTTTTACTAGACCCGCTTTGACTTTTACACTATTTACTGTTTCGGGGTTTTCTGATGTCCTGCGGGAGAGCTACAATTCCGAGACTGGAACCGGACGCCTGTACCTGCAAAATAACGGAGACTCCTGAGAGCTCCGCCTCCAACGGTCAAGTTAGTACCTGATTAAGGAGTAATCAATACAGAAATTAAAGTAATAAGGTCTCTCTAGGTGAGAGTATTTAATGTAGGTAATCTGCTTTGCTAGCGAGATCAGCCGGTTATTAGTGTGTTCCGTAATGTTTCTCCTCCGTTCCGTTAATTATTCCGTCCCTTGATTAATGAGGATTAATCGAGTATTTATAGCCTTGGGAAGCGTGCAACTCTCTAGGTTTAAGGTAAACCTAGGGCCGATCGGGCTTCTAGACTGAAATGGGCCTTGATGGCCGGTTGTCCCATTTGGCATGGGTGGACACGTGGCGTGTCTTAAGTGGTCCGTGGAGGACGCGTGGCGGAACCTGGTTGGTCCACTTGTCAAACGGCGCTTGGTGGATAAAAATCCCCTAATCATTTGCCCCTCACAGGTGGCACGCGACTGGTCACGTGTCGCCTGTGACAGGTGTCGCACGGTGACAGGCGACGGCCCGTTACAGGTGTCACCTTGCAGACGGCCGGGAGATCCTCCCGCCCAAATTTGAATTCGGAAGCGACCCTTCGCCTTCTCATTTTGCCTATAAAAGGAAGTGCTGACTTCGGTCATTTTCACATTTGAGAATTTTTGCGAGAACATTCGGACCCCTGAACTTGATCTGACATTTTCGGACTTTTTCTGCCTACCGCCTGTTCTGACAAGCCGACTGACCCGAACTTTCAGGACTTCATCAACTGTCATCCGTTCAGGTAACTCAGTTCTCTTACTCTTAATTTTCTTTTTATTTTTTGAAATGGCACCATGGAAGCACACGACACGCCCTAAGTTAGTGATCAGCCGGTCACCGGGGACGGCTGAATCTAGGACTAGGAGTGCCGCCTGCCCTTTTCTGGACCCATCTTTGCCCTTTATACAAAGTCCGACTGAATCTGTGTCTATGCAGAACGTGATGGCCAGAACAAAAAAGACTGCTAGAATATCAAACTCAGACGGCTCCTCCCAAAGGGTACTCCTTAGCGAAACATCTGACCAGGCGCCAGATGTGGAACGAAGCGACTGTCAAGCTGACAGTTCTGAGAGAGGGACCAAGGTGTTCCCTTCTCATCTAACCGTGGACATGTCTAATTTACCTTCTGCTCCTTCTAAGGGAGAGGAGGCGGGCCCCTCTAGGAGAGGGGAGGAGTCGTCCTCTTCGGACTCGTCAGGGGACGAGTCCGATTCCAGCTCTTCTGACCATAGTTCTTCTGACCATAGTTCTTCTGACTCAGAAGAAAAACATAACCGCCTACAAGAGGCGAGAAGTTCCCATGCAGTGGAGAAGGGGGATAATTGGGCAGAGCCGTCCGCCTCTTACAGAGAGGAAAATACCCCCTACTACTGCAGGGTGCCCCGGGGCCGGATCGCAACCATGCGAGACAACGTGGCGAGCTTTATTGCTAACCACAAAATGGGCCCGGAGTATTTACTGTTTGTGCCGGATCCAGAAGATACTGTCGTCTGGCCGGCTGGTACCAGCTATGGTGACGGCTGTTTTGGCTGCTATGTGGCGGCCATCAAAGCTGGTCTGCGCTTCCCATTACATCCGGCTGTTCAGCGGATTTTAGATGGGTATGATCTGGGGTTATGGCAGTTAGCCCCCAACTCTTGGGTAAACGTACTCGGCTATGTGGCCGGGTGCGAACTGAACGAGGTGGAGCCAAGTTTTGAGGCTTTCGCCCAGATGAACTATCTCAGCCGGACCCCTAAGTCGGGAGGTACCGGCTGGTATCAACTAACAAGCCACAGGGGTTACCTCATGACGAGAGGTAAGGCAAACAAATGGAAGGATTGGCGGAACACCTTCCTTATTATCGAGAGTTCAGACACGGAGCTGAACAAACGTTTTAACAAGTGGAACAGAGATCCGCCTCTTCTTGCAGGCGGCCGCAGCATGCC